CATGTATTCTGCCAGTGGCTGTTGGGTTGTTTAAAATCAAAACTGTGATTTTAAAGTTGTAAACAAATGTGCTGTGGACTCTTCTTTGCATGTAGCATTATGAAGCTGTGGTGCAGAAGGGTTTGATTTGTACTTAGTTGCCAGTTTATTAGGTACAACTAGCTAAAACTAGTCCCTGCAATAAATCCTACCTTTCACAAAGGCAATAGTTTGAGGTACCTTTTCAATTGAATCGATAAGTGTTTCTTATATTTAGGCAAATTTAGATAAAATTCGCTGGATAGAATTAATTTAACTCAGAAGCACCAAAAACTATGTTCTCCATAATAACCATTTAATTGAGTCTGCGACTTGAGAGTTCAAACAAACATCTAGCTAGCTGTACCTAATAAAGTAGCAACTGTGAATATTAAACCAACTGACACGAGGTTAGTTAAATTCGTTTGTTTTTTTCGCTTGTATTGTGTATTTCCTGCAAATGTAACTTTGCATTTTTGGCTACAGTTTCATAAGTCGTACACATTTTTATTTCAGTGGTGAAATGTTAGCGCACACACGCCTTTAAATAGAAGTAAAACAACTCAAAAATGGTAACGGTTCTCAACTCAATGCTTTTTATGTAAAGTACAATTAAAATAGACGTTACATGGTATTTCGAGACGTTGTCAGTCTCAGTTTATGAGGTTACCCTTTGATAACTTGGAAAGCTAAATACAAAGTGCTAAATCTTCCTGATTGATCAAAGTGTGTAGCAGAATCAAGATGTTTCACGTATTTACATTTCCGTTGTCGCTTCGATTGGGTAATTATACGCATGTGCAGAAGGACTCGTAGGCTTCCGTTTGAACTCAATCGACACTCATTGCGTAAATAATGGCAGAGCTCCACAGACGTCGACAGGAGGTCGGCGACAGAACCTTGTCACCTGAGGGATCCTCATCCAGAACCGAGAGCGCCGCATCCGGTGACAGCTCCACGGTATTTGTGAAACTGTTGGCTGCGGGATTTTACGGAGTCAGTTCATTTCTCATCGTTGTTGTCAACAAAAGCGTCCTCACCAGCTACAGGTAAAGGTACAAAGTACAAGCAACAGTGGAAGCTTCTTTTCGGACACTTGACCCATGGCAGTTTTAACCACGTGGATGTGAAGTAGGGAGGAGACAAACTGGGACCAGTTTTAAAATTGTCTTCTTCATAATGTTTGGGACAGGAAGAGTGTGTGAACACTTTGAGCAGATCCATAGCCAGCATTTGACCATTTTTGACTGACCACCAACCAAACTAGGCTATGTACATTTTTGTCTCCATTCAGTGATCTGAGTTGCAGCAGCCTTACTTGGTCTGGTATGACCAGTAGCTCATAGTGGCTAATGTTAGCAAACTTTAGATAGATAATTCTGTGTAATTAACTGAGTGATTTCACTGAATTCTCTACTTTTGCTGCTGTTAAATTCAGTTTTACAATTTACTATTATGTCATATTTATTCTGTAAAAGAATGACCCTTGTCAGTGTTATATAGTATAATAATAAAATAGGATTATTGTTACTAGACAACAATGTGTAAGCAGCTTTTTAATGTTCTAGGTGTTAGTAGTAGAGCTCATTTTAAGTTGGCCGATTTATATAATGTTAGATAGTTTAATTTACAGTATAACAATGCATCAATTTTTATATGCGTATTGTAGCTTTTAAAAGTGTAACCTTTTAAAGTAGCTGGTAGCTTTAATACTTAGATAAATGTAGTGTAGCACAATATTTGCCCCTCAAATATAGTTTTATTTTTACAGAAGTATAAAGTAGCATCTACGAGAGTGCTGAAGTAAAGTACAAGTACCTCAGTCAAAATCGTACTGATGTACAGTAATTTAGAAAATAAACATAGTTAACGTCACTGTTTTTTCCAATATTTTCTAGTGCAAAATATGCAATGCTAGTGCACAAAATCCTTTTTTTTTTTGTCAAATTTGGTCTAAAACTGTCGGGATTAGCCCTAAAAAACAACTTGTGTAAATGACTGGTGAATCGCTACATTTACATGTGTATATGTAATTGCAGAAAGTAAACTTTTCCTCATGTGATAAAATCCCTCAAACTAGCATAAATATTTCTGAGAGATTTGGAAGTGAACCAGAGGTTGACCTACAAATAGGAAGCAGCATTAATGAAATTTTACAGAGTATTTGCATTATTGAGTCACTTTCCTCACTTGCATTACATCAATGTCTTCCAGATTTCCATCGTCAACATGTGTCGGAATCGGCCAGGTGAGATTGTCTTGAGTCACAGATACTTCCTGTTCACTTAAACAGAGAGCTGATAAACTGAGTCTCTCCTTGCTTCAATAACTCTGCAGATGCTGGCTACAATTGTAGTTCTGAGGATTGGGAAGCTGTTGGGCGTTATCTCGTTTCCAGATATGGATCTGAGTATACCACGCAAGGTGAGACTGTGAAGTACTTTCTCTCGCTTGGACTCAAACACATGATAGTAAGAAGACCCTCATGTTAAAGATCAAACCTGCTGCTTTTAATATTTCATGTCTTTGTGTGTCTTTCCAGATGTTTCCACTGCCTCTGCTGTATGTTGGCAATCAAATATCAGGGCTTTTTGGGACACAACGACTCAAGTAAGAGCTTGTTATCTATTAATTATTATATGAAATAAAACAGCAAATTAAACTATGTTTTCCTTTTTTTCCCTAGTTTACCCATGTTTACAGTTTTGAGAAGGTTCAGTATTTGTCTTACCATGGTGTTTGAGGGACTCTTGCTTAAGTAAGTTGAGCTTCACGTTTCCCCAGCACCATTCAACAAGAATGTTCTTGCACCTGTGAATGATGATTTTAATAACTGCAATCCCATTTCCTCTTTTCACAGAAAGACGTTCTCTACACCGGTTAAGCTCACAGTGTTTACTATGATCTTTGGTGCTTTTATTGCTGCCAGGTGAGATGGCCACATACAAATGTAGCTGTACACCGACATTATCCAGGCGGCATGTGTGTGAATGCCGTCACGTGTTTTGACGTGTTTTGTGTTTTGCAGTGATGATTTAGCCTTTGACCTTGAAGGATACATATTCATAATGCTGAACAATGTTCTGACAGCAGCCAGCGGGGCGTACGTGAAGCAGAAACTTGATTCCAAGGTGCTAGTACTCGTGCTACCTCTGTGTGTGTGCTGCTTCTTTGCTGCATTGTTTCTTAAAGGGCTGTATTGAACACTGTTGTTCCCATAGGAGCTGGGCAAATATGGGCTCCTCTACTACAATGCTTTAATCATGGTTTTTCCTACTGTGGCATACGCTTGGTTCTCAGGGGATTTGCATACGGTAAGTTTGTTTTGGTGTTTATAACGTAGTGTCCGACAACTAGTGTTAGTGCTGATAATCTCGTGTGTGTGTGTGTTTGAGTACAGGGGTTGGAGTATAATGGATGGTCTGATCCACTGTTTGTTGTGCAGTTTGTGCTCTCCTGTGTCATGGGGTAAATTCTAGATCCATCGCTTGTTAATAGATAATATCCCACATTGCTGCTGTTGTCTAATCCTTCTTCAATGTGTGCTACAGCTTCATTTTAATGTACTCCATCATGCTGTGCACGCAGCACAACTCAGCGCTTACCACTTCCATCGTGGGCTGTATTAAGGCAAGTCATGTCATGCCAGTCCCGCTCTCTGTTGGTCCGAGAAGAGTTGTGATGCAGGTGTGTTCAGTGAGTCTGTCTGTGATTCCTGCAGAATATCCTTGTGACCTACATCGGAATGGCGTTTGGTGGAGACTACATATTCACCTGGACTAACTTCATAGGTCTGAACATCAGGTAAGACAGACACCCTTTCAATAGGCGTGTCGTGGAGCTGGCTTTTTGTTTGTCTTTGAACCGATTATGTTATCCTTTGTTTCCCACAGCATTGCTGGGAGCCTGGTGTACTCACATATCATTTTCACACAGGAGCAAACAAGTAAGGATAATTTAAATAATGTGAATCAAAACCTCCTTAAAAAAATTTTTTATCAGATTTTGTCTCCCAGGTTACCCAGTGTTTCTTTATAAGTGTGGAATAAGTTGTAATATGTGTACAGATTGAACATACTACAGGTTTCTGAAATGTTTTGCATCAAATTTAACAGAAAATGCATAAACCACGTCGACAACCAGTCACGACCCGTCACTGAAGAACTGCGCACATCCAGGCCTCATTTCATACGGTCTGTGAACCGTATGTGGAGACATCGATTTTAAAACATGCTGTTGAAATGTTTTATAAACATTTATTAAGTATTTTCTGTATTTTGTCAGCACATTTTGTCTGTAATCACAAAAAGGACTTTTCTGAGACACAATTATAATTTTTTATGTAAATAATTTTAGTGCCTTAACTTTTTGTTATTATATTTCACTGATTAAATATAAACATGTAGGCATTTAATATTCAAGAAATCAATAAAATTAAAGGACAGATTTGGATTTGTTTTATTGTATTTTAACACAGTACTCACATGCCATATTGAGTTATTGTTCCCTTTTCTCCATGGAGGCTTTTAATTGATCCTTTCTTGACCCGAATACTCTGTTATAAAAGGACCCAGTTTCCATTCTGGGCAAAAACTACTTTCTCAAGTTCAGCTGAAATGAGTCTTCGCTGAAAGTGCCCATCTTCCACACTTACACATTTTGTTTCTGGGACAAAACACTGTTTAAAAAAAATGCTAAAGGCAAATACACCCACGTGATTTGTCTAGCTCAGGACTGCTGAAGCTTCATATTATCTTCAGTTGAACTAATAATGCATTTTTGCACAGAACAAAAACTATGGGTTTTGTCCCGTTTCTTACAGTGTCACTAAAGTAGTAAGAGGCTACTTGAAGGCCATGATGGAGAAGATCTCAACCACCTGTTCAGTCTTTTAACATAAGGCATGTCTTTGAGACTAATTGTGAAATGTTGCATTTCTGCTATATTCAAGTGTGCAGTTTGAAAATTCACAATACGACAACTCAGACTCATTAATACATTTATTAAATATAGCCAATGTTATTCCATTCATAGCCAGATTTGGAATACACTTAATTTTTATTCATGTTGTCATTTACAGAGAAAAAAAATCATTTTCAACAAAAGGAAAGGAAAGACTACATGGATCAACATTATCTGAGACAAACTTATCTTAATTTGTGAATGTTTAGTTCAAAGCTGGAGTATAACGCAAAACACTTAAGCATTAAGCTGAACAGCTACTGTACTAAAACAAATGACAGTCTTCAAGGTCACACCCCAATGGCAACCTGGCCTGTTTAACTGCTGGAAACCCACTGCTCTGAAGCCACTGAGTAAAGTAAATATTGATTAAAACTGAGCACTTTCAGTCAGCGCAAGTTTTTAAATCAAAGACAAGCAGAACACTCAACCACAATGTGGTGCTGTTTTTATGGACAAAATATGAGGCTCTCTGCTACAAACACTGAGCCGATAGAGCACGGTCACACAGGAATGGTAAGTACTGCCAAACAGAGGGAAAAGAGGAATGGCTACTTTTTTTTTTATTTTATTACATCCATCTCAGAAATTTCTCAACGAAAAGCATGGCCTACAAGGAAGACGAGAAAATACAAAGATGAACAGACAGTTGTAAAAAATGTACCAGCTGCTCAAGGTAAGAAATCTATACAAAGTTTACATTAAAAATCACGGACATTCTGTCTAGTAAAAACAAAAGCGTTGAGCAAAGCACTGACCATGAAAATCCAAAAATACAGCGATCTTCTACATGATGAGTTATATAATACAGGACATCACTGATGTCAGCTGCTTTACACAAACAAACCAGTGGGGGGACTAACCCATTGGTTTATTTATCATAATCAAACAAACAGATGGATGACAAAAGTCAGAGTGGGTTCAGAAGAGGAGTGAAAGTGTATTTCTGCTGGGTTTCAACACCACTCCTTATTAATAAAGATGACAAACATACAATCAAAGTGCAACGAAAGAGGGCCAGCGACAGCACCAGCCTTGCTCATCTTGTGTTTGCCTGCTTTGCCTCTTTTTATGAACTTGAGCACACAATCGTTTACAATATGTCCCGTTTCATCAAATGTTCAAACAGCTTGAACGGCAACTACCCATCATAGTTTTCTTTTGGTAAAAAATATAAATATCTCTTGTGTAAAAAAATATCACAGGTGATTTATTTTCTTTGAGTACAAATAGAAAAAGGAATTTCTTGGCAAAATTTTGTCAGTCAGTCTCCAGAAAGAGAATAAAGACGATGGGTAGAAGATGTTTTGTAGGACACGATGGAGCTGCGGTACTTTGGGACGAGCTTTGCCGGTGGTCAGTACATGGATGTGTCGGAGGGACGGGGAGACGGGGCGGCCACTACCCCTCCTGGAGGACCAGCTGCAGTTTGGCTGGCTTTGTTCTTCGAGTGACCCGTGACCTTTCTAAAGAGTCTTTGCTCTCAGGAGACATTGCGCTCACAGGCCATGAGGGGCTCATCTTAATCATCCTCTTCACCCCATACCTCTGCCCACAAGAGGGGAAGTAGGAAAGATGTTTCACCCCAATTCAGTGTCTAGTAGCTAACATCACTGAGATCTAGATCCTTCAGTTCTCCTGTGTTCTGGATGGCTCCACCTCACTTTGGCCCAGCGGCTCTGCCTCCGTCCTGCATCTCTTCGCCGGCCTTTCATGTGATATTGCCGTGTCTCTGTGGTCCAGCGGAGGCTCCAGAGAACCATTTTGGTCGTGGCTGGGCGCACCGGGTTGGCTGCAGCCATTGGAGTTGTGGTCGGAAATGGGAGGAGGAGCTTCCACTAACGGATGAGAAGGCCCGTTGGACTGAACCGACTCAGATTTGACTTGATTCACTGGGGGCAGCAGAGCACCATCCACTGTGTGGCTTGAGTTGTGGCTTGCAATACCTGCCAAAGAACGATGAAAAGTGATTAAAGCATTGGATGACCTAAATAACTGGAATAGTATCTAGCCATGCAGATGCTTTTGGATTGACTGACCAAGTTGAGGTATTGGTCCCTTATATTTCTGCTTTCATCTGAATATAATGGAGGTGTGGTGTTGAACAATGTGGGATATCCACAGTAATAAGGACACAATTCATGCAAACAGTTATTGTTGCTGACATGTTTAAATGTAATTTGTCAATGCTTGTTTTCCAATTCCATTTCCAAAGTAATGGGGTAGATGCAAAAAACACAGATCACACCTCACGCACATCTTAAAACCTGGGCAAAAGATTAACTAAACTAAATTGATGGCTAGTTTTCATTAGTGGCATCTAAAGATTTGTTTACATCTTCACTTCCATGTCACCATAAATGTTAGGTGATCCAGGCAGACATGATGTTTTACTATGTCAAAATGAAATACAAGGCAGTGTAACAACTACATCAGTGGACCTATCAGAAGATAAGTTTGCGAGGCTGAACAGATTTATCACTAGGTGGAGAAAAAAAGACTTGCAGACATGGTAATCTTAATATATTTTAGTTATGTTTAGATTTAAAAATGAAAACACATCTTTAGTAACTTGGCATTCAGCAGCTCACCGTTCTGACTGCTGCCGTCTTCCCTCTCCGAGTGGCTGGCGCTGCTGCTGGACGTGGTGGGAGGAGGTGACGCCGCCCTGCTAGACGTCGCGCTCTCTGTCTCATCCAGTAATCTGTCCATGTAGTCTCTGATAGACACAGCAGCACACAAGCCGTTACACACACCCTGTGGTTTTAAATACTAGCAAAGTGCATGTAGTAAGTCATTTTATTCTAACCTAACAGTAATTGCAGGTGAGTCCTATATCAGTAATACTGTACACTAAATGTTAGCATTTCATACAAGCTTCTTGTTGCAAAACAAGTAGTCAATCTAAACACTCTGCTGTGAAACTGTGTGGTGCTGTGATTGTTGAGGTGGTTATCAGCAGTAATGTCGGTTACATCCAGGAGGTGATGCATACAGCAACATTATCTGTCAAGCCAAATTTCCTTTGGCTGGACTAACACAAGGTCCTGTCTGTAATGTTCGATCCTGGCAGTACACCCATAAATTACAGTAAGAGACAAAATTAATATAGTTTTTACTAATTTAACATAAGATGCACATACATCAGTTTAGAAGTGCCTACCCAGTGCTCAGGCTTGCCTGTGAACAGCACATTAGACTTCTCATGTTTCCTTAGGCACAGTGTATTTTTTCTTACTTTGTATTTTAACAAAATGGGGACTTGAAAATAAAGCTAGTAAAATGTGTTTTACCATTACCATGGCACTAAGTAGAAAGTAACAGACAACACATTTCAGGTTTGTTTGTTTTCAGAGACCTAACTCCACATGTGATACTTTCACAGGAGTAGATCATCTCAGATTCTACACAGGACAGACTCCAGCAATGAACTGAAGTAAAAGCACTCCAGTACTAAGGCTGGGCGACATGGCCAAAAATGTTATCCCGTTAAAAAAATTTCATATCATATCATTCGATATTGATAATTATGCCGATAAATAACTATTTCTTTCGAGTTTGAAGGCTGATTTTTAGTCCAGTGTGAAAGTTGAATAAACCAGATGGTGGTTTTAAACCATTCTTTATGGTCAGAACATGACAAACACTTGATGCCGAACAATGGCTCACTTCCCAAATCTGAGCTACAACATTCTAAACTGTGATAAAATCTTTTCAAAAAATATGCATGATTAAAATTAAATAGAATACTTTTTTCCAGACAATTTTCCTCAACAAAATTAATATTTTAATAGAATAATTAATTCATTTGTGATTAAAATTAATTACAAAAAGCTTTTATTGAACATTTGTTATATTGTTATTGAGGAAAAATATATCACATTAATTATCATTATTACTGTTTTATTGCCCAGCCCTACCCAGTACCACTAAAAGTCACGCATGAATGAACCTACCACATACGCTCATGTATTGTCAATATAAATCCACTCAAATGCCATCTGCACAAAGTGTAATGCATAATATTTGTCTGCCAAAAGAACCCACCTTTAGCTGGCTTACTCTCACAAAAAAAACAAAAATAAACACTGAGAATCTGTTTTCATTATTAAGTGTGGATTTGAATCACTAAGCATCTATTGGAATATTAACAAACACAAGCAAACCTCAACGGGATTACATTTATTGTCTACATTAGCCATGTCATTCACAACTGTATATTTAAATTTATACTTTTTTTTTAAACTTACGTGACACCAGGGTGAAGGTTGTATTTCCTTTTCCCAAGTCTGGTTTGCTGTGCAAAGAAATCATAACGCTCAGACTTCTTCCACATGTAATAAAAGGCCACACATTCTCCTACAGACCTAGTTCTCACCTGAAAGATTTAATTCAGCAGACATGAAATGACCATTATTACCATCATCTGAAGAGATAGATTCAGTACAATTCCAAATAAGAGACAAATCAAATTATAGCTTGGGTCTGTGACAATGGTCATTCGATCTAACACTTTAACACTGTGAAAACTAATTTGATTTGTCTCAAAATGCAACACGGTTGAAATTTAGCCGATTCCAACCCTGAGCATCCAACAGCCACATAACAGCAAACACATCAACATACATTTTAAGTCATTGTCATGATTGTCAAAATTATTTTAATCTTATCAATATATGGTCATGACATAGTGATTAGAAATGGTTAATTAATGTTGCTTTTAAACACTGAGTCTTACCTTGTTGGCCTGTATTAAATGAAAGTCTTTCCCATAAGCTTTTAGTCCTTGTTCAAAATTTCTACATTCCTCTTCAGTCCAGACAGATAGCTCCTCTGTTACGGAGAGAATATGTGTTAAATCTTGTAGCTGCAAAATCTTCTTAAAAACAAAAAATGATGATCCAAGTGCAGAACGCCCTATTAACCCAAGAACGCTGTATTAGAGAAAAGTGATGGTAAATATGTGAAGGGCACTGTGGCTTGATTGTTTACGTACCTCTGGCTGCTTTTACATTAAACCTTAGTCTTCTTAAAGCTTCCTCTGTGTCAAAGTCACATTTCACCAGTTCATACAATGCCTACAAGGAAAGAAATATTGAAACAAGTTAACATATGAAAAGCTATAAACATAATTGATCAAATGTGAGTCGATTTAAAGCATAATGCTGCCGTCATTCAACATTTTTCTTATTGTCATCAAGCTCATGAAAAGCCAAACAAGGTTTTAGTCTCTCAACACTTTCCGACTTCCCTGTTTCATTAAGGCCCAAGCCCATTCCTTCCTAGTCATGATGCAAATTTCTAAAAGTGGCTCAAAAATATATAGTTTCATTTTGTAAAAGGCTTAATATTTCACTGGAACTGTTCACTGTCCTCTTAAGCCAACATTACTCAAACAACAGTAAACTGTGCATTTCAGACACAGAGTGATCAAGATTTAGTGACTCAAAATAAGCATGGCAACAATGATGGTCTATGGTATCAAGGAATACCCTATATTAGGCTTTGGTACACAGAAAATAGTAGAATCAGTTTACTATTGATTTTGTTTCTTTCATGGGCTCGGCTCACAATAAGAAACATATAGAATTTGGCCAGTTTCATCCTCCAGTACAAGCTACAGATAAATTGCTGTCACCTGCTCATTGTCTTTGATATGGGATCCCTCTGGGATTGCATCCACTCCCTTCTCCTCTCCCGTCCGCCTTGATGCCTCTGTCAAGAACTCCACCACTTTGCCTTCAGGAAGACACTCGGGGTTCCATAACAACTGGTCATCATTTTCATAAACTACAGGACAAGTTCATAGAAACAGGCAATGTGATGTCAACCATGTCAACTTTACCATCTTTAGTTCTTTTGAACCTAGAAAAGGGGACACAGTGTTACAGCTTAAATATGCAGATGGTGACAGACAACCGCTTACCTTTTTCATTGTCTTTATATTTGCACAGGCCAACAGGAGTTTCTGCCTGGTACATGGAACCCACCATGATTTCCTGTTGGGAAAAAAAACACAGTTTAGATTGGATGACAATTGCTTCATAATGCATTACAAATAGGACACCTGCTTGCGCCATACAAAACAGACAGAGGTCCACTTGTCACTGTTTTCTTTATACCATGAAAACAAGATGTAATTTGATCAAGTGGATTAACAAAGTTCTTACATACCTTCTTCCAGTCTTCAGATGGAACATAGTCCTCATCTTCATCTGACTCCTCCTCGGCATCATTGTTACCTGAGACACAATATGATATACATTTAACCGGCTAAATAACACAAGATAATTTTTTTAATATATATTTTTAATATGGACATCAACACATAAAATGTAGTTGCAACTAGGAATGAATCGGTTCCAGGTTTAATGATAAACCACAGTAAAATTCCAGATGGTTAGTATTACCGTTTCAAATATGAATGATCATTAAAACCATGTTTGATCACCACGCTTAAAAACTCACCTTTAATACTGTCCAGCATCAACTAAAGTTAGCAAGTCATATTTTGAGAAGAGTGCTGAGGGAAACTTGATGAAAGAAAATCACTTTATAGTGAATGCGGGGTAAGTTATGTGTGTGCACCTCAGAATGAAGGAACATGTCAATGTTTGTCTGTCTGTCTATCTTGCTAATAGCTTGTAGCTTGGTAAAATGGTTTCAGTGTGTGTATGAGTACTTTTTTAACATTTTCAGAACATTTTAACAATACCGCAATGCTAACCATGATAATTGGTGTCAATATAATTGTGATGTGAAACTTTCATACCATTTAATTGCTAGTTGCAACAAGCAAAGAACAAGAAAAAAGTGAGATAAGATGGCACATACTTTCAAAGTACTTGAGTTTCTGGGGGCGAATAAGTTCTGCTGTGCCAAGGGACCTGACAGAACGTGTGCGACCATCAGAGGTTACCTGGGCCTCATCCCCCTGTGCTGATGAGTTCTTAACACCCTCACCCTGAAAACATACAAACATACACAAAAAGGTTGCAAACAATGAAGAAATTACAAAAAACATTCAACACATAAAATATAAGTTTATGAAAACCAAAAGAAACCAACATACCTCATTTCTTTTCAACTCGCCAGTGCTTCTGCTGCTTTCATCATTGTCTAGGTCGTCTTCCTCATCCTCCTCATCATCATCCTCTTCTTCCTCTGGTTCTTCTTCCTCTTCCTCATCCTCATCTGCTGGTGAACCGCCCCCATAACCATACAGATTCAGCAGCTCATGAATCGGCATCTCTCCTTCCTGTTGAAAGATAGTGACATTGTTAACAAATCAACTGAACTTCCACAATTTGATCCTAAAGAAATCATTTTGGTCTAAATGTAAAGAATGAAATGCAAAACTCAGGAATGGAACCTGCCACTTTTACCAAACTGATTGATAAGACTGTTAAACCGCCGAGCTACACAGTAACTTTTTTTTACCAGACAGGCTGACAAAACCAAATAGGAGCTCAAAGCATGAAAACGCACTCGTGCAAGATCTTCAATCTCGTTGGTGTTGGTCTCATCTGATGTCTCCAACATTTCCTCCTCCTCCAGGGTGCGTTCATCATCAAAGTCATGGACAAGCATGTCTGCTGATGGGTCGAAATCATGGTCATCGGAACCTGCTGAACCTCCTAGTAAAGTAACCCCAAATATGTAAGCAATATTGCACATTTAGACAGAAAATATGACTGAATTAAACATTTACTTATCCAGCCAAAGCCCAAACACAATTTCTTTGTTTGAATATATAATTCAGATATATTCAGGTATTTATAAAATCTTCTATCCCAGTATATGTAATTTTATATTGACAATATCAGTATATACATATATAAGCATACTGCAATTTTCAATTAAACCTCTTACAGATAAAATAGCCAGATGGAAATTTATTTTTCTATTTTGGCCAAAAATCAAAGTACTTACTCACACTGAAACAAAAATCCTTTACATCTAACATTATCATAAAGGAATCATACCCGCATGCCCACAATGGCCTAATACAGCCAGAGACATTAAACGGACTAATACCAGGGTATAAACACTATGGCAAAATCTCTGATGGTAGACAAATGTATATTGTGTATTTTATATATTGTATTACATTTTATTTTATATTATATATTTACACATAGGTCAATGAGACTTTTATAACTTACATCTGTTCATTTCATATCTATATATTTTTAAATCTAAGTGTGTCAACTGTATGTTTATGTCTAGCACCTAATAACCATAACAAATTATACAATGTGTGTACAATACTACTTGACAACAAAGGCCCTTCTTCTTCTGATTGTAATCTTATTACCCAACCCTAGCCTGAATAAACATATTGTAGACATATTCACATAGGTTTGACTAAAAAAATAATAATAAATAATGATTAAAAACATGTTTTACCAGTGTTCACAAAGATAACTAGTGTAACCAAACCATCAGAAAACATTTAACATATGGTAAATACTTCACAACATACTTTGATTAAACTGGTCTTTAAGTATAATCAATTAATTTGGGAATTAAGGCCGGCTACAACCCTGTGTTATGGACTTTGGTGCAGATCTAAATTGTTCCTTTAGGTATTAAATATATTATATAAGTTTGATTATAGATTTCAAACCTATGGCACCACTCAAACAACAACAGAACAGCTCCAACTTTATGTACCTGGGCTCGAATTCCCGAGGGAGGGCTGCAAAACGGAAAAGAGAGACATAAATTAAGTTAAAGAACAGCTTCAGAGGCAAATATCCCATGAGATGTAACGTTACAATTAAAAACGATTCGCCGCTGTACATAATATAAATATAACTTAACATAGTCAAGTTACTTTGGCAGTAGGTCATGAACGGGAATTCAGGAAAAGCGCGCCCGACCCTGTGCCCTAAAACCTGACTGCAGTTTTACAAGGAAAGAAACAAAAGACTGTCACTACTTCCTGAGGGAAAATACAGGCAGCATCACAACACTATCAATCTCATAGCTGCAGTGGTGTTTACCGCCTGCATTAAACCACATTTAGCTACAACAGCCGAGTGCTCACTAGATTAACTTATTCAACTGGCTAACTTACATTTCAAATTACAAGCTAGTTCTCCTTCATCTATTTAGCTAACGCGTCCAAGTAAAGCTTGTTATCAACAGCCTGCAAATACTGATAACAAAAAACTAATAACACGTAAAATATCTCCAAGCACCAAACTACCGCTATGTGTCTCACAAAACACGTTAATATGGATAGTTAAGTATTCTTAAACAATACCGCGAAGTACCATCGCTAACGCCGCAGCTACCTTCCGTAAGAGCTAGCGCGGCTAACGTTAGCTAAATCCGAAGTTTACTAAACATGTTTGTGTCAAGAAACGGCTGTTATCTAGCAACGCAAACGGCGGGTTTTTAATTTCGTGTTTTAAAGCTACAACGCGCAAACGATGTACACGTTCGACTGAACTAACTGTCTTCCGGTGTACATTTATTTTTTCCCCCTAATATTTATTTCACTTTCTTACCTCCGCCATGTTTGCTATCCTGCAGGGTCACGTCAGGGGTCAGCAGTAGTTCCCGGATGTGGAGACCCGCCCACCTGCAGTATAAAGAAAATTTGCCTCGAGGGGATGTTGCAGTTATATTGTAATGTTATGGTGAATATCACATCCATTGTAGTATGTGGAGATATTCCTAGCCCTCCTTTTTATGGTTCATAAACGATTTTTAAAAAATCCTCACTGAAAAAAGTAAAATCGCAAGAAAAAGATATATCCAGGCAACTACTGTTTGATAAATCTCCCCCCTGTATCAAATGAGGCTTTCTTTTTTCTCTACTTTACCCTTTTTACTTGACTATTTTTGTCTGTTTATTGTTTTTTGTTTGTTTTTTGTTGTTCGGTGTTGTTTGTAAGTACTCTTTCTTTCATTTGCACAGACAGTGTATTGTACCCATTTTTTATATTTTTTTGTCCCCTACAAGAGTTTTGTATGTATCTTGTCAATAAAAAAACATGTAATGTTATGTGATAATATTATAATAATATGCCATTATAAAACATATATAAGTTTTAAAACAGTAGTTATACCCCGTATTTTGGAATGATTCAATACATCTAAATCAATTCAATTCAATGCATTGATATGTTCTAAAAAGAAAAAACTATTTGCTAGGAATAGGTAGGCCTATGTGTGAAATGTGTTAGACTTAAACTAGGTATTAGTGAAAATGGCACTCATGTTAATCACTCTCTTTAGACACTTATATTTAGAATTTATAAGAATAGAGTTCCAAAAACAAAAACAGAGCATAGGCGTATGCTGTTTCAGGCTTTCAGTTTTATTCTCCCATCATAATATTGATCCATTTACTGGAAAAAATCTAGGGGACACAAAAAAGAACAGAGCCGTATGCTTTTTCAGGCTTTCAGTTTTAGTCTCCCATCAGTGGCATTTATAATATTGATCCATTGACCATTTACTGGAAAAACTAGAAGGCACATCCTGAAAAGATATCTCTCAAACATTATCTAATTTAACCAAAGATGTCAAGTTCATAACAATACAGATTTCCAATAAGACTTTATATTCACTTAAAATACCACAGTCAAAGTATTAAAATGGTCTGTTGTGTATACTGTGACTTCACATGTCCAGGCAGCAATGCTGATTACATAGGCAAAACTCAATGCAGCTTTATATCCAGATTAAGGGAAATTGATCGAACATGTTCAGAGTATATACTGGGACATCTTACGTTTTTTTTAATTCCATGCCATAAGCAGATCTTTATCTAACATTAAAGATGGCTCAGGTCAATTGAAGTGTCCTAGTAAGCTATGCCAGAGAGTCAGCATGTACAATCCCAGAACTCTGAAACTGGCAAAATTAAATGGAATACTGCCATAATCAATATTTTTAATTACACCTTTACAACTCCTACAAAAGCCCAAAAGCGAGGTCCCTAGTGGTCACAGGGATGAGACAAGTTCATTTTACGATGTAACAAGTGTTTAAAGTGACTCAGACTGACTGAAAAGACCTGTCTCGTGTTCAAAATACTATATTTAAATTAAAACTGTGATCAGCTGGACTTTTGTACAGCAGTGTGGACTCATACATACATTTCTAATACACACTATATTTTGGTGTTTAGCATCACCACCCCCACCCACCCGGTAATGACTATTTCAACTCTATTCCGTGACACAGTTCAATTTGACAGCAAGTGTACCGGTTAATGCAACGGACTCTTCTTGGAATCACTGATTTATGTTCATGATAGTGGGCACACACTCCACTATGTTGCTATGTAGAGAGCCATCACTTCAGTTTGATGTAGGGTAGAGATATCTGAAGCGATCCATTATGCAACACTTTACTTAATCCATGGCAATAAAAAACCCTGCAGTTCGGAAATAAAAGACCATTTCTTTCTCTTTAACATTTACGAAAATGTAGTCAATCAAGAACCTGAGAAGACTTGGTGGAGTGTGTGACATCATCGGAGACGCTGTATAAAAGGGTTGATCAGGACAGATGTTTTCTGAGAAGAAACAACATGAGATCCTTACTCCTGCTTGCGACGCTGCTGTGCATGCTGTGTGTAGCACAGGTTCAGACACAGGAAAACACGCTGAGGCTGTGCGGCCGGGCATTTCTGCGGGCAGTGGTGTACACCTGTGGAGGATCAAGGTGGAGAAGACTGATGGGAGAAGAGCAGACTTTGCAAGATGGTGAGTAGACAGTCACTTGAACTTATCTTTGTAGCTTTGGGGTTAATTTCACGAGAACAATTACAGAATAGCAGCCTTGACTTCTGGTAAACAAAGGGTGGTATCTTTTGGCAGGTAGCAGGGAGCCAAAACTGAAGACGACAGATGTGCCAGCAATTGACCGTCATTGGCGGGACCAAAACCAGGCACTACTATCAGTGTGCTGTGAACAAGGCTGTCGAAGGAGCGACCTCTCCATGCTCTGCTAGAGGGGAACATCCAAAGGGGCTCATCATCCATCGGCCACAATCATTCTTAGTTTAAAACAAGTTTAAAACATCTTCAGAAGATTGTTGTTGATGTGATTTCATTTTCCATGCTAGCAAAAATAAAAAAACACCATGAATTTTGGTTACAAATTCTTGTTTTATCATTTTACACATGGCAAAATATACAACACAGATAAAAAAACTCTTCAACAGCAGTAATCTTTTCAGAACTGTGAGAAATGTATGACTAGTGAGCCTTGTGTTCTTATCAGAGTATTCAATGTCTACATGAGTCACTCAAAGTAAACAGCGTAGACAGTTGCCACACCAAACAGAGAGCTGTTTTTGAAGGAGTAAGAGGCGAAGGTGTCATTAGATGCATCCCATAGACATCGGCTGCTGATTTGCATGCTCTGCCCGGTGAGTTGTCCGATGTGCACAAGGACGACAATCTTATATCGGGGAATCATGAGGTCCTTCACACGTGCTCTTATCACCTGATAGGGGAATACAAAGAATGAAACTAATAGGACAGAATATTCAAAAGATGTTGCATGAATGAACTTTTCAGTTTAATTTACCTCACAAATTGTTTTGGTCATTTTTTGAGACCACTCTACTTCATATTTCTCCTCTTGGAGGTAACTGGTAAGTACATCCTTCAGTATGTCGGTGACAGCAGGAACAGGGAAGCGTTTGTAAGGTCCTGTGGTCCAAAAACAAAGACAAATAAGTTGTTCCCCTTATGCAATTGCTTTGGTTAGTGAAAAATAGTGTGACGCATTCATTTGAAATTGAAAAGCAAAGCACATCAATCGAAAAGCTATGATGGATTAAAATCAATTAATATTGCATTAATATTCTTGTCTTGTTCAGCTTTCACCACTCAAGAACCAGTAGCATGCACTAAGCTTTTGTAGTCTGACGCTAAACAAATGTCATTATTTAAGTGCCCTTGTGTAAGGTTGTAGTAAGGCTGAAGTACTGACATTAATCAAATCAAAATAAATAAAATGATTCTCAGTCATCCAGGTCACAGTTATCCAAGGTATCCTGCAAGTATATTCAACGAAGGCCAACTTGAATAAATTGTAAAAATTTTTTTCTAAATCTTTTAAAGAATCCAACTTAAATCAGTGCTGTATTAAACTACAGTACATCTGTAGTTGGTGATTGTTATTCAGGCGAATGTTACTGTACCCATTTGATAGGTGTTCTCCATTGTTACGGGCATCCGAGCGTTGTCATCATGGTGTCCTAGTTCATCCACACACGAAACAGTACTTATAGAGCTGTAAGACATGAACACAGTGTAGAAATTGTCAGTAAAATGGCCCTGCTATGAACATAGTGTGGTTGAATAAATAATAATTTAAGAAGAGCTGACTTGAACTTCTCATCCAAACATATGGTATTAGGTATGCTTTCTGAATATCAGTCATAACCTTTGCCAGTTAGGTATGATTAATAAAGATGAAAAGACAATAATGACTAAAGGTGGCCCATATTATTACATAGAGTACTCACTCCTTAACGTTAGTCCTGCCAGTTGTTTCCTTGCCTCTGACTCCCTCTGAGGGAGCCTTGCCTGTCCTCTTCTCTCTTCTTTGAGTTTTGTCTTTAAGTAGATCCGACATGACAGCTTCCCCTTCCTTTAGCTTGTCTTTACAGGAGGATAACACAAATACATAGACTGTAGAAAAGTCAAAGTCAAGGGCAAATTGTACATCAGACCCATTGCAAGACTGGTATCCCTTCCTCAAATGGCCTACCCCGAACCTGCTTAGACTGGTAATGGTTGATTATCAAATGTGTTACCACATTTGAGGGGCAGCTGTAGAAAATCCTCCTTCCTTCCCTTTTAGCTGTTCAATCGTCTGTCAGTCGATTATTTAAGTGGAAATTGGTAAAGAACAATAAACTGTATGGCTCTTATCTCTGGTCTTCATACTTCTACAGGTGTGCCAATGCAGAGGCTCTATCTTATATAAATTATCCAGCTAACGTTAAGTTACCACAAAATCAGGACTTCTACATAGACGTTAGCTCAATTAATATCCAGTTAAACATATATACACAATAATACAGTAGCTAACCCCAACACTACACCGTGTATCAAATACATAACGTTAATAAAAAAAAGTTAAAAGTTAAAACAAACATTGCTACGCTAGATTTCCTGGGTAACGTTGACGTTAGGTTAACAACACCACAGGTAACTTTTTTACGCTAGCTGTTTGGACTTGCCCACGATTATTTTGGTTAACTATGTACAAGTGTGTAGTATTACAGATAAAGTCGCGTTATATGGGTACAGAAACATGACTGAGGGAAACACATTTTTACCGATTTCAGGACCTCTTGGACCGAGAAGAAGAGAGTGGCCCCGCAGAACTTGGTGTTGCCAAGGCGACCATAAACCATCAGTCAGTGGGAGGTTTCCTGCTGGCATGAACCTGTTTACACAGTCAACTACACTGCTTCATACCTGTCAACACTCTCGTTTATCCCATATTTTACCATTCTTTCCCGGTGTCATCCCGTTTAAATATTTTCCCGTATTTTATACCTTTCTAAAAAAATAAATATTTGCTACGCTCCCCTCCGGTAAAGCAGGTGGCAGTAGCAGAACATCAGCTGTAACAGTGACGGGAAGAAGAAGAAGAAGAAGAAGCAGAAGAGCAGCGTGAGTGGTGCAGGGTGGATGGTGCGTTGCTCTACAGAGTATTTTACCCGCATATTGCCCTAAAAATAGATACGTGCGAACCAAAATAATAGGATATGCGAGTTAAGACGGCAACCTATAGTAATTCTTATAAAAATTGACAAGATAGTACTTAACATTATAATAAAAGAAGAATAAAAAGAATAAACTAATCCACAAAAACGAAACTGGATTTAATATAGTGGCCTAGTGTTAAAGTGTATATGAAATTATAATGAATATAGTAACTATAAGTAATATATTAACATTAGCCTATACTAAATGGTCTATACTATGAAATTAACAACAATACTTTTGTTAAATGTTAGAAACGTAATATAGCCCATATGAACGTTTCAAAGTGTTTGCCATTTGATGCATATTCTTCTTTGTGTTTATGGCATTTTGAATGCAGTGTTTCATTTTGTAAGAGATAGGCATTTTGCATTTTGTGGGTGTAGTTTTGGGAATTTTGTGTAAAGTTTTGAAAAGGAGACATTTTTTTGAAAATGTGTGTAAACAGTTGTAATAAACTGTAAATAAACTACATCTGCAGATGAAAACCTTGAGATGTGGTTGTAAGCTCCTGAAAGAGCTATTAAGTGGACTTAAATTGAAATAATTCTACACAGCAGTTGATGACATGATCTTCATCAGCATGGAGTTGGTCCAGCTGTCATGAATTGACATGTTCAGATTAATTTAGCTTAACTATTTACAAGGTCAAGAATGAACTTTGAACCTCAGCTTTTAAGCCAACATGGGCATGTATTACCCTGAAGAAATTGGCTAAATGGACCTTGTGGTGAGATTGTTTCCTCAGCTAGATTAATAATATTTTGTTCCCATACCCTATGGGAACAAAATACACCAACGGAAATCAGGCTGAGTGACTCACTTTTACAGGAAAAGTCATTTTACAATCTGGCTGATATCTCTAAAGTATACTTTTATATCTTTCAACAAATGAGAGGGAGATAAATATCTCATAGTTCCTCTTCTTTATTACCAAGTAAAACAGGTATTACATTATATTGATTTTTTCATATATTTACTTTCAAAATCTTTGGATGGGAAATTTACATGAAATGTTTGCATATTCTGTGTCTAATGGAGAGAAAGGAAAAAGTTGTAGAAAAAAAGAAACCTACAGAAACCCTCCAATATTGGAGGACATCGTGTATGCTCAGAAATAAGGCAAAGAAAAACACAAGCAATATTAACAGAAACTTCTTTTTCTTTGAAAGAACTAAATAAATAAAAATAAACTAAATGAAATATTACAACTAGGCCCAAACTGTGAGTCAACACATTAAAACATTCTAAAAAATGTGATGTTCAAACACAGCATCAGTGTGTACATGTGACATGAAGCCATGAATCGTTTTATTAATGAACTTTAAGGTATGTTTTGTGTGCAAGTCAAACACAGGATAATGTCAAACACCTATATCAGATGCATGGAATGGGAATATCAATGAATACATGCCAAATTTATTGACAATGGGTTTCTGAAGGTGCAACAACAGCAAAACAGAGATAGGAGGTTTAAGTGAAGGCAAAAAGTCTCCTCTCAAAGCACAATTATACAATAACGCACGTATCATAACCTCATTGAAATGGATAAATTGGTATTGCATTGATAAGACTGGTGACGGACAAATGCAGATTTCATGCGGCACCGTTTGGAGTCATTCAGTAACACTTTTTTTTTAATACAAGAAACCCACATGTAAAACAATAAATGAAGAGTGGCGGTGTCGTTACATAGAACCTAATGCATTATGAGTGCTGACATCAATAAACCAAGAGACAATCACAGACACATCCATATGCCCAGAGAAATATTTGAAACATAGCTTTTTATGTACACTTTTTACACTTATGTTTTTAAATATTGCTATTAGAAAATGATAAAACATTTATTCAACATGGTGGAAAAGGAAGAAAAATAAAACAGGGATATGAATAGTGCCATCTTCTTTGATAGACATTTCTTTTCATTAATCTGTCATGTCCCCGATAATACTCGTCAAGACCTCTATCAAAGATCATGGTCAAAGGAATTGGCCAGCTTTTTAAGCAGCATCAAAGGCAACTTCTACAATCGTCGGCCCAGGTCCCCTTTCTCCTGAAACTTAAAGCTCCTTTTCACCACCGTATGGCACTCATACCTGGCTCTGTGTGTGTCTTACATCTTAAAGCCCTTTCAAACATAATTTCTGTAACATTAACAGAATAAATTAACTGAACTGTTCCACTGAAAGTAGCAGCTTCTGTCAGTCACACTAGTATCGCCTTACTGTTACAAAATTTGACCATTCACACACCACCACAAATACCACTAAAATCCTGTGATGTGGAGAATTTAATGTATCTCAGCATTGCACGTGCCCATAGTGGTAATGTAATGATTTTGTTCTTCAGCAGGTCAAAGTGCCGTAACTGATTTACTGACAGTTTCAACTCTCTGTCCACATAACCCGTTAACGGCAAAATGCCATCAATGTAGTAGTGAGGGCTGTACATGTAAAAGTATAGTATTACATATAAGTGCTTCAATCCTGATTGTGGGACGGGACATTTCTTTGAAAATGAACTTGTTTAGCTTGCAGACTAGCTGTCTTGGTTGATAGCAAGCTAACGTCTGATATGCGGTAGCTAACTGAGCTAGTTGCGAATCCGAATTGAAGCACAAATTTAATTCCATATAAAAAGCACCTTCAGATTAAGAGTGCTGATGTTAGTCCAGCGCTGCGGGTCATTTGGAACTGTGAACTGACCAGTCACCTTTAATCACAAAGACTGATAGAATGGGCTGTGACATTTCAAAGGCTGTCCACACAGAAAAATAAATTCTGCTTAGACAACCATAAAGATTGGTCACACATGGTGGGGGAAAAAATCTGATTTGAGGTGGCAGTGTAAATCAGATATTACCATGTAACCTATAACTTACAGGAATAAAACTGCAAAGCAATCCTATACTACACTTTTTCCATTCTTTTCCACCTTGTTTAAGATTGATTTAATATTATATAATCTATTCACATTATCTTTTACAGTGCATCTGCAATGACAACCAGTTAGACAAAGGAAACGGCAATGAATAAGGCTGGATCACTGTATGAATCCACAGTTATGTTAACAAGAACAAAGAATCAGAGTTTCCCTATATTTTACTCCATGTAAGCTCATAGCTGTTCCAAAGACACAAAATGAATGGTTTGTATTTACTTGCATAAACTCAGCAGCAGTCAGTCTGCTGAATATGATGAAGTCAAATATCCTCTGTGTTTGTTATGTATTCTGTTAAATCTCAACCACTGATTCTAATGAGTGCTAAAGATAAAGTGTCAAATGGACTAAACATGGGATGGATCCATAGTCTTCACAGTCAAAAGCCATTGATTCTTTTGGTTCCGTTCACAAACAGGTCCACTAATTATCTGCCAAATACTTCCCTGTGAAGCAAAACGAAACATGTCAGAGCAGAGTTCAGCCTTGAGATTCTGTGTGCAATTAGATGACCAAATCAAAGAGTAATTTGTTTCAAAATTAAGACAGTCAGCCTCCATAAGCTCACACAAACTGACCTGCAGCAAATCTCTTCTTGATCAATGATAGCCGGTAGCCGGTCCCGACCAGCTGGATGTCGCATCCTGACAGAGTGCTCCCCTCACTGGTGAACTGGACTGTCAGCTGTGTTGGTCTACAGGGACCTTCTGTCATCTGGAACCGGCCCAGAAGAGCCCCTACCCCTGTAGGACACAGATACAGTATTGATAGTTAAAGACTGTCAGTACCAATAAACTTCTAGCCTCATGGCAAAAAAGTTGTCTATAACTTAGATCTCAGTATTAAAGTCCAGTGATGGACGGTAGTGTGTGCTAAACAAGAGGATTTTGTAAGGACATGACAAAAATAAACATTTACCTCCATTTTCAGATCTATGAGAGAGACTAGGGATTTTCCACTGAATTGTCTGCTGCTCTGGATTCCTTTAATGAGAAAATAATTGTTGTTGTCTGATATGCATTAAGCCACAGGAAATAAATTAGGCTCAAGTCCATGTCTACACAAATACAGAAAAACTTGATTATCTAAATGTTCTCTGTGCAGACTGAAGCTCAAAAATAATTTAAACACACTCATATCTCTATTACTGGTCAAGCACTGGCCATTGAGCCAGCAGCTATATACAGTTTCCAACATATAAACCAAGACTCTGACTACAATCTAGACAGCTACTAGTACACAGGAGGTAAAAAGGGACCCAACATAAGATAATGAAACTTACAACATAGCATCTAAACATCCCACTATTTTTGTGGAGGGGTAGGAAATGGTGCTTGGTTGGCCTTCACACATCTACATGAGCCCCTACAGCTGGCCCTTAATGCACCAAATCCTTACCAGGTTGCAGGGGGCATCATGGCCTGGAGTTTGGCCATGCCTCCATCTACAGGAACCAGGAAGTTGATGTTGTGTAGTGGCATTGGGGCGGCCATGGCCTCGGTGTTGTATTTGTAGTCTATTCTAAGGTCTGTGTTGGTGGCATCGCCTCGCCAACTCACTGCCAGGTTCAGAGGAGTAGACTGGATCCCCGCTGCTGACACCTGAGACACACAGAAACACAAACCAGTGAGATATATGGATGGATAAAGTCTATTGTTAGATGGACAGATACTAGATACACAGAGAAACAGATATTTGATACCTGATATTTGATCATGTCCACGTTGTAGTATGTCGCCTGAGGCTTCTGTTCAGCCACTTTTTTCAGATGGCTCATCAAGTTAGGCATATTCACCCAGAACTCCTTGGTGTCTACACTGTCCGTTGTGGAATCACTGAGGGATAAGAGGTACTCATAAGGTACTCCATGAACTGTGTGAGCACCATAATTAGATATTTATATTATGTGTGTGCCTGAAATGTTATTCATACCAGCACAGCAGCTGTGGATTGGGGAGGACCTGCTCCAGTCGGCTGTAATTGCTGATGCTAAAGGTGAGGATGGGTTGAGTTGGGTGGCTGGAAAAATGTCTGGTTATGCCTGCAGGGAAGGACAGCACCATTTCCCCTGTGATCTTCACAGCACATCTGGGACAGAGGGGGACAACGTGTCAGAGACCAAAAAATATACATTCTAAGAATCCCTTTAGTATAGAATACTTGTCATTGCATTTGTATTGGTCACATTGTCCAAAACATTGAAATGAGGGCCTACTTGCTGGGGTCCGCGCCTTTGAAGTAGGCGTTGATGGTTTCTGTGAAGGCAGCTGCCACTGGCAGAGTGTCCTGAGGTCCCATGGTGAGCGGACTGGGTCCTCTGGAACACCCTGTTAAAAACGCAAACACAAAAGACACCTTTAAAATCTACCCTTAGATTAGCGTAGCTAGATCTATTCTCTTGTGTCATTCCCTATATGCTCAGATGTTCAGCTATGGTTTTATACGCAGATGATAGGGGAGTATAAACACACAAAAGCAAACAGACAAAATCAAAACTCAACAATCCATCTAGAAACCAGATTCTAGGTGAGTGAGCAGGACATGGGATGGGATGGGCAGCAATATTCTGGCTCAGTGAACATGAGCATGGACAGGACAGCAGTGAAATGAGGGCAGATGCGATCAGTCCATGCACTAGTGGGACTAGCGTTCTGGCTCGACTCACCTTCAAAAGCTAAATAAAACCTGCCGTGGTCAAACCATACCAGAGGCTGTGAGGCCTCTGAATGAGCAGAGACATGAGGAGGAGAGAATCATGGAGAGGGACAAGACTGTGAGGCAAGGACATGATGACGAGCGACAGAAAACATGGACACAGATTGAGATGTAAGAGTTAAGGAAAAATAAGACAAGCAAGAGGACTTGCTGGTAGTGTACCTGCGGTGGACGTGTTAAGGTCCCTTCCTAAGGTTGGAGTAGATGCTGCACTCTGCAAGGTAATGGAGGAGATAGAGGAAGAGCTCTCTGCCCGGGCCAGGGGGGCCAGAGGTGGGGGGCTGCCTGAAACCGGCGGACTGAAGGGCCGAGACTGGAGACAGTACATAACAACACAGACTTTGATTACAGTGAACAACACAGCAACAACAGGAAGACAAATGCTTTCTTTTATCACGGAACATACAAAATTATTAATCAGTGTCAGGCATAAAAGGAGAGAAAAGCGAACAGAGTCAGAGAAATGAAAGGCGGTTCACATGTACCAGATCTGTGATTGGTTTCCCGGGAGGCAGCTTCGGTCGTGAGGACGGTCGAGGAGGAGGAGGCGGAGGGACTGGACTGCCTCGAGACTGAGGTGTGGCAGGACGGGCTGGAGACGAGGGGCCTGCGGCACATACCAGTGTCTGTGGTTAGCACTGCCTTCAGATCACAGTGAGAAAGATTTTCATTCAGCAACATCTCCAACATTTCTACTCACGACACTGTTCACAGAGCGAGCACTGTATGCCAACACCCTCACCCCACACCCTCGTATTTCCGACAGTAACTTGTGACTTAAATTCTATTTGTATTCACTTCTATCAGCTCAGCAAACCTCTGTTTGTCTGAAGGGCTATGATATTTTACTATACCTAACAATTTATAAAATTTACCTCTTACTTCTAAATCTTTTCAGGAGCATAAAGAAATGAGAGCAGCTGTCCTTCTGGTTCTGGGATGCCATAAAATCACTGCTGAGCCTTTTGGAGGTGCTGATTCACCCAAAAATATGTGGCGAAACATGCCTACTTGATAACCTACATTGACAAGCCCATACTCACTCATTTGACCCTGTAACATAGGCTGAATGCTGAATGCTGCTGCTGAGGCTCCTGTAACAGAGGCGCGACATGTGATCTCTGTGCTATCTATGATCACTGAACTGAAGCTTCTTCGTCAGCGCTCACCTTGGAATATTCAAGAGAAACAGCAACATCATATCTTGTGTATTATAAAAAGGAGACCTTAAATAAGGAATTCAATTTTTCATTTGCGTATGCAATCTTACAGGATTACACCAGGGAAATATTGTATACATGTACATCATGTACATAATACAAACTTCAAGTCTCACAAGTTACAATAACAATAGTTATAGATTAATAATATGTATACATTAATACATTATCAGTAATGTAATGTGTTACATCACTTATGAAATCATTATTTCTGGTTTGGTTTGGTTATTAATATAATAGTTTTATACTATTCAGAATCAAGTCAAAGTAGCAGGCTATATTATATTGGAATTGAGGGCCATTTTTCACTGCCTCAGGTGCTACAAGCTTGTACAACTGCTTTGAAGAAAACTTTCTACATGATAAATGAGTCAGATAATAAACATTTCTTTGCTGGTTCACACACCCAACAAAACATAAATGCAAAGAGGCAAGAGGACCTGCGTTTCAAGTATTTCCGTGTGATCTTTTAGTGGCACTGGTGGCAGTGTCAGGCTCACTTTTTCAAACAACCCAAGCTAAAGGACAATCCAAAGTTTAAATACACTGCTCCAACTTTGTGTGGAGGCAGCATAATTGGCTTAACATTTGAAAAGAGACCAGAATACTCACTGCTGCCTGAGTATGGCCCCGGAGAAGACATAATAGACCTATAGGTGGTTGGAGGGAGAGGAGGGGGCGTGCCCCTAAAGCTCGGTGTCAGCTCTCTGGGTGAACCCACTAAGTCTGGGATATCATCTCTCAGGTATGCTCCCTCTGGAGTCCTCTTTCCCCCCATACCCCCAAGGACCAGGGGAGATGTGACTCCTGCCCGAGGAGACCTTCGGTCTGCTGGCAGAGGTGGCACAGGGCTGATGGGGGCAGGGGACGAAGAGAATTCCGCAAACTGCAGGACCTCCTCATCGATCGCATCCTCGTCGAGGCACAGAGGAGGTGAATTACGTGGGGAGAAGTTGGGAGGCAAGGGAGGGGCTGGTTCATCCGGAGGAGGAGGGCCGAGCATGATGGAGGGGGGTGAGTCTGGTGGCGTGAAAACAGGAGGAGACCCGGGAGAAAATAGTGGAGGCGAAGGCGGGGGCTCGTCTGGTGGTGGTCCTGGAGAGAGGCAGGGGGTGGAGGGCGTAGATGAGGGGGTGTCTGGGGGAGGGGAGTCCGGTGGCGGAGGGGGAGCAGGTTCATCAGGCGGCGGGGGTCTGTCGTCAGTGAAAGTGACCCATCTGGGAGACACTGTGTCCTCAGTGGTGCGGGGGCTGTCCATGTTGAATACGTCATCCAGTTCAGGGGCAGGGGAGCCTCGGTAGGAGGCAGGTGACAAGACGTTCAGGTAGATGGGGGCAGAGCTGCGAGCTGCCCTTCCATTGGGTAGATCAGCTGCAAGAAATTTGAGGTAACATTTAGGGTCAAAGCGCACATGAGATTTAACTGTATGATTAATACACAATGTTGTTTTAAAAGCTACATTTACCAGCGGAGTCCGAAGGATAGCCGTAATGACTTCTTGATGGAATGTTTTTTGGAGGAAGAGGAGGAGGAGCTGCAACAAGGATGACCATTTAGGCCAATAGATTATAATATTTCAAATACATATAGACATTACTCAACCAATAAAGATAAAGCAAGGTGCATTCATGCCAGCTCACCTCCTGTTGGAAAACTTCTGCTCAGTGGGGAGTCTGAGCGTGGTCTCGAGTCTCCCCATAGCTCACTAGGGACCACTGTGATTGGTTAACGACAAAAGAAACAATAACGGTCACCTCTGTGAACCGCCCTTGCTAAGTATCTTTAAAGCATGCTTAGTATCAATTCATGTGATGTCAGATCGATAGGGGACAGACCATCATATCTGGCATATTTGGTCTCTGAAGGCAGCCCAAAAAAGGCAGGAACGTTCTGCGACAACCTGTCACTGCAAAAGGAGACACACAACAGTCAAAAACTATTTCTGCGTTTTTCAAAATTCCTGCTCCAACATTATTCAAGGCACATCTATAGCAGTACCAGTAACACACAGACTGAGTCAGTGGCTAAAAGAATGACAGACCTTGGCGTCTCAGGTGCAGGACTTGGCGTAGGGGTGGAGCGTCTGGGTCTGGCAATCTCTTCACCTATGAGTAACATAACAAAAACTTAACTGCTGCTCTGTTTGATATTTGAAAAAAATCCTATCACAAAAAGCCTACTTTCAGCTTCTAGGGATGGCAATGTTAGTCCAACACTTTGGTCAAGACTAAAATATCTCAACAACTATTGGATTGAATTGCCAAAAAATTTAAAGAGGTCATATTATGCTCATTTTATTTAGGGGTTGTACCAGAACAGGTTTACATGGTTTCATTTTCAAAAAACACCATATTTTTGTCATACTGCACATTGCTGGAGCTCCTCTTTTCACAGTGTGTGTTGAAGGCTTCAATTTAGCTATGGAGTGATACACCTTGCCTCTACATGATCTTTGTTGGGAGTTGCAAATGTGCAGCTCCTGGTTAAGGACTACTGGCCAATCAGAAGCAGAGTGGGGAAGGTCATGAGAAGCCAGTAAACACAGCTTCGGTTGAGCTGTTTACGTTCCCCTTACCAGCTTAGCAACATGTACTGGAGCAAGAGTTTCCGAGCTCTCTCTCTACATCACAGTAACAACTTCATGTCCATTGGGCTGCCTGGAGGGTAATGTTAGCTAGTGTTTGAAAAGGAGAGGGGATGTGTGTGCTGTAGCTCAGTGTTTTTGATGGCATTAGCCGCTTGGAGAGCATTTTACGATGCGTATTTTTCTTTTCTTTTCTTTCAGTTCAGAGAAGTATTTTCTGTGGGAGATAGGATCTCCCTTTGGGGTGGACTTTGGGCTTTTTCACTTTGCAAACCAATTACATGCCCAACAAAGATATATAACTCAATAAAGGAGAGGGAAAAAGCCAAAAAGCATAATATGACCTCTTTAATACAGATGTCCGTGGTCCCCTCAGGATGAATCACTTCAGTGGTCCCTTAAATTTTTATCAAGAGCCACCAACAGGGCAAAAATGAATTGTTCAATACTTTGGTTTATGACTATTTCATGCCAAACTAATAACATACCCTAACATCCTCAGCTGCTTTGTTTTATAGTGTATAGTAGTGCTATTTCGCAAATGCTAGCAAGCTATCACTCTAAAGTAAGATGGTCAACACGGCAAACAAACTTTTTAAAAAAATATGTTTTTATATATTTTTTATATATAAACATTGTAACTGCTAAGCATCAGCAGGTTAGCATTGTTGATGTAAGTATGTTTAGTACATTTAGGTCAAAGCACTGCTGTGCCTAAGTACAGGAATGGAGGTTAGATTTTAAAAAACTATTTCCAAATAGGTGTACTTACAAGACAAATTCCTCTTTATCTGCCCCTGTAAAAGATAAAATCACACAACACAAATTGAGGATACCGACAATGTATTGTGAAAATATACAATACAAACAAATCATTTTATTGTTTCATTCAATTTTAATGATGTTTTTTGTGGTAGATCAGTAGATCAGTCATATTAAGACAAGTTGATTTGCATCGGAAATGCATATATCTTTGTCACCACATTGTTATATTTTTTACTTTTTTAAGGAAATTAAGATTTTCTTGATACTTAATACTAAATCACAATTGATTTAGATTGATTTAGATGGATTATTCTTATTTTGCTTTTTTACTTTCTGCACTGTATTTATTAAAAATGGGTCATGTAGCAGAGATTAGAAAACTGAGTGTCAGGCTGTTGCCCTTGAAACAGCCAGCAGATGGTGTAAGAAACTTACCGGGCTGCGTCTCTGAGACCAGCAAAAGGGAAGAGAGAACAGACCTGGGTCAGAGAGTGAGTGACAAATCAGTCAAATGGACACCAACTAAAAACTGCACACACCACACCTCTTTACTTGCACCGCAAAGCCTTAATAATGCAACATGAGCCATAACACCCTCAAGATTATGAGGACAATACCTACGACCACCACGCACAGCGGCACACACTGAATGTAGCAGGTCGCTTAGCATGTACGCTCCACTGAGACCAAATCAATAGGTTTGGAGCTCTGTGTGTGTTATGTTTACAGTGCATTATGTAACACAGTCACTTTGCTAGACAGGTTCAAGTAAAGCTGTAGCTACACAGAAAATAAGTCAACAAAAAGAAGTGAGGTCATTTGAGGCCTAGAAAGGACACTAAGACTTGTGAGACAGAAACTCCGTGCAGAAACAAGGGTGAAGCCATAAAGGCAATTTATAAGTGAACTATCACAGGAACTCTCTCAACCATTTCAACGGGAATTCATGCCATGCAGTCCCTGCTGGTAGTGATACAGATGTAAAATTGAATGGCAGGCTTACCGGACTTCTCTTCTACAAGATGGCCGCAGATAAGTGAGAAGAAAAGACAAAAACACAGAGAGGTAAGATTAAGACAGAGAGAATTCACCAGCTATTTCAAAATATGAACAGCAGTGTGTGTGTGTGTGATTTGTGCCCTTCAGTCCTCTGCAGCAGAACAACAGGGCTGATCACACAACGCTCACCAGAGATGGGGAGAGTGCCAGGCCTCCTACTGAGGCTTTTAGCTCGTCCATAGATGGAGGGACACACTTGGTACTGTCCGACACCAGCGGCTTGATCTTAATTTTGAACTTTTTCTTGCTGTCCTCGTCGTCCTCGGAGTCGCTGGAGGAGAAAAACTGCTTTCCTTTGCAAGCTGGTGATCTTGTGTCAAGGACAATGTAAAATAACAGCAATAAATAGTGTGAAACATGGAGGCTAATTCAGTCTTCTAAAGAATTTAAAGATAACATGACCTTCAAAAATAAATATATTTCTTCTCAAATTCACGTGTGTGCAACATGCAGAACAACACTGCGGCCTGTAGAGGAAAGTACATTTACTTAAGTACCGTACTTTAAAGGTACAATATGTGAGATATAAATATAAGATATATCTCGATACAACATTCAGAAAATATAACATTATCAACATAATTTGAAGAAGTAACAATTCTGATATTATGTCAAAATATCTATGTACTGAATTGTGGCAATATCTACTAAAGTTAGCATGCTAACCAGCTAGCCTGTTACAAGATTAAATATTGTCATGGCTTTCCACTGCTGCAGACAACGCTTCGCGAGTAAAGAAATGCGGTTTGAAGCTGAACTCGGAATGTTTCTGGTAAGTAACATCCAACTTTGGCTATTTAGAGAAACATCTCTTTAGTGCAACTAATGACGACACAACCCATACCGGAAAACATTTTAAATTACATCGATATATTGTTTTGATGTGGCTGTTTTGCTACTCTGGTCTTGCGAAAACAGAGCTAAGCAAGATATAACATAAAATATAGGCCGTTTTAGGCCAGGTTTCAGCAATTTGGTCAATTTTGCCCTCGATTTTTTGCCCTTCTGTGAGTTCATAGTTGGCTTTTCATCAGGCATGTGATTGGCAAAGAGCAAAAAAGCAGGAAAATATACTGAGACCACCCGACATCCCGATTAAACTGGCGGTGGCTCTAACATGGAAGGTAAAGCAGGACCCATGACAATAAGTTATTTAATGGATGTGTTGCTGTGGGAATCAAAGACAAGGGTCTAATCCACTGCTCCATCGCAACCTCTCTATAATAATTATTATTTTGTATTCATTTCTACCAAACTTCAACAGCTAAATGTGCAACATGAAACATGAAATAATTGAGTCTATAACTAAATAATGTAAATACTAACTTTCAAATTAGTTCAGTTGAAGTTAATAGATGATTTTTAATGAATAAGAGACAGCAGCAAAGGTTGTTGCCTGTTTTGTTTGCCTGGTGGCCTGTTAAAGAAACACATATTCTTCAGGAAACTGAAACAGCTGATCAGTCTCTATCTGTTGGAAACTGTAGGAAAAAATTTGACATTTCAGCTCTGGAAGCGGGCGGGCGTGTGCGTGAGACGAGAACGACCGCGACAGTTTAACGGGATCGCGCCAGTCACACAAAAGCCGTTGCCATGGTTACCTCGCGGAGCGCTTGTTTGCCTGTCTGTTGATGAGGAGCGCGGAGCGACCCTTGTGAAAAGGCCTTATATAGCCTAAACCTTGTCACAACCATTCACAAGATATTAATTAATAACGTGCCAAAACCTTTAACATAAGGACGACTTAAAAAGCAACCATTCACACAGCAAAGTCTGATGTGATCTACCACAAAAATAAATGTAGAACTGTTCGCGGTTGAAAACTTTTTGCTGGTCACACAAAGTTTACAATGGACGACAATGTTCTTTGCATTTTAGACTGTGACACAGTAATGATAATAACGTTACTTACAGCTGTCGAAAATACCTCTCTCTCCCTGTTCTCCAGTTGTACATCTTCGATGGCCATAATTGACGCCACAGAAGAAATATCGAAGGCTCTAACAAACAAAAAACATGCAATAGGAATTTTTATAGATCTTAAAAAAGCTTTTGATACCATTAATCATGATATATTACTTAAGAAATTAGAACGATATGGAATACGGGGGGTTGCTGGGAAATGGGTGAAAAGTTATTTGAGCGACAGAGTACAGTTTGTCCAAATGGGTGAGCTCTCTTCTGGATGTCTTGACAATGCTTGTGGTGTCCCGCAGGGGTCAGTATTGGGCCCCAAATTATTTAATTTATATATTGATGATATTTTCAATGTTTCTCAATTGGTTAAATGTGTATTGTACGCTGATGATACAAATATTTTCTATAGTAATGATAGTTTGGAGCGACTGATTAGCGTTATTAACAAAGAACTAAGTAAATTTAAAAAATGGATGGAAAATTATCCTTAAACCTAGATAAATCCAAAGTGATGTTTTTTGGAAAGTATCAAGCTGATTCGCAGAAACTGGTTGAGATAGACGGAGTACACATTGAAAATGTTCAGGAAATAAAAATTTTAGGTGTAACGATAGACAACAAGCTAAGTTGGAATGCCCACATCAGACATATAACAACAAAAGTCTCCAAAAGCCTTGCCATAATAAGTAGAGTTAAGCATATCTTTGATTTTAATGCACTCCATACCCTGTATTGTGCTTTAATACAGCCATATCTAACCTACTGTGTAGAGGTATGGGGCAATAATTACAAAAATGTAATACAGTCACTTTTTTTGTTACAGAAAAGAGCTATACGAATTATACACAAGGCTGCCTATTTTGAACACACAAATCCTCTCTTTCTCAAATCAAAGCTATTAAAAATGCAGGATCTTGTAAAATCACTATTTATTACCTGTGAACATTCAAAATATGTTTTCTCATAAGGAGCAGTCGTACAGTTTGAGAGGATTTGGAAACTTTGCGGTACCAATGGCGAGTTCCACCACTGTTTCTAAATGAGGTATTATTATTATTATTATTATTATTTATTTATTTATTTATATATTTTATGTATAAATTCTTTGATAGACTGGGGTGGGGTTTAATAAGTTTTACTTCTTCCCACTCCATTTCAAGCATAAGTGTATAAGTTATTATTATTGTGTATCTTTTCTGTTGTCACACTATTTTGCTTGAAATAAATAAATAAATAAATACTTTAGCTTCTTGGCTAACAGCTGACTTTAACAACATAAAGTCCAGTGCCGGTGAGCTGCAGCATGGTCGCGCATTCACGTCAGGGATGGTGCGTTCAGTAGCGCACCGTTACTTGGATTAGTAATCCGTTACATTACTCTTTACTGGGAAAAGTAATTTTGCAGTAGGCCTATTACTGCCCAACACGTTACGTACCACTGATGCGCGAGAGCGCCTGTGGTACACACTGCGCAGGTGTGGAATTGGCAGCTGAGCGTAAACGAACATCCTTGATACTTTACACAACCTAGATCCTTTCCATTTCACTAGACCAGGTCCTGGATTAATCCAGAAAAATCACATCCCTGTTTCATTTTATAACTGATGACTGTAAGTTAATATTTAGTAGTACTAGTGATAGTACCTGTGGCAGTAGACCAACTGGAAAAATGTCCATCAGTTCAACCCATTATGAGTTTGGAAAGCTATACATTTTTATGGGACATTGCAAGGTTTCTTATGCGTTTCACTGTATACAATCTTGAACAGTGTCATTGCTGCAAATTAGCAAATCATGCAGTTCTTGTTTGGAGCATGTAACATTAAAAAATGATGTAACATTATACAATAAGATAAACCTTTAATGATCCTCGAGACCTACACTACTTAGGTGCAAGATCTGAGTACTTCTTCCACCTCTGACTGCAGCAGAGGAGTGAGATGTCCGCTGTGCTGTGTCCCAGTTAACAATATTATACCTGCTGTAACTGACACTCCTGCTCTTTTCTCAGCTAAATCATCCTGCTCAGAGTAAGTCTCCACAGTACCAGCTCTCTATGAATCCATTTCAAACATACAGCTGCTGACACCTGCAGGAGCAAAAACTTTGGACAGCTCTGTCCGGCTGGGAGTATTGATTTGGCCTATTTAATGCTGAGAAGCACTCATCCAATGAGTCACTCAGCCAAACAGGTCAATAGTTTTGCAGGAGAAGAGTCCCAAGACTGCTGCTGCTACTGTTTCCGCTTTAAAAGGATATCATCACCCTCGTCACCGGGCCGGAGGCTGAAGCCCTCGTCATCCACGTCAGGGGAGGCCTTGAAAAGTGGGAGGAGAAGAGTGACAGTCATTTTTAGTCCATCACACACAGTAAAAAAGGCATCATTAGAATCTTCCCTCTGAAGAGCTCTGCATATAAATGTGGATCAGATTTCACAGATGTCTTGCTTGAGATGGTCAGCTTCCAGGCTGAAGCTCCTGCTGACTCACCAAATATGCAGGTCCCACTCGATTTGCAGTGTTTACTCATTTTAAACCTAGTATTACATGACGCTGATTGCCACAGCACAGCACAAGTATTTCACACCAAAGCTGCAAAGTTGCTGCTTGCTCAGAAACATCAAAATGAAGCGGTATGTAAATAATTTACCAAAAGTAAAACGTAGTAGGCTGCGCACACTTACATATCTGTCCCAGTCAATCTCCCCATAAAAACCATTTGGTGCTCCATTGGCCTTTTTCTAGCAATAAAATGTAGAAAACACAGAATAATGAAAGGCGAACATCAGAAAGCAAACGACAAGTCAGTATTAAAATGTCAGTGTGAATTATCAATTTGTATAAACAAACGATGAACAAATATCTGGGTTTGTTGTAGTGTTGTTCATTATTCCTATTAGTAAAAAATAATGTTTTACACTCACACCAAGTAAATTGTGGCAAATTCCTAACAATAAAAAAGACAGGACAAGAAATATGAGTGGTTAGATGGACAGTGCACAGTTTTGTTAAAAACCCCTTGTTATGCGAATCTGTACCCTGTAAACATCCATAACAATTTACAGAAATAATGTTTAGAAACAAATAAAGTGGTTTAGATAAACTGTTGACTTGTTCGCAACCTGTCTGATTATCTGACTTCTCATATTTCTTGCCCCGTCAGACTTTGTTGTAATGACATCGTCGCCTTTCCAGAACTCGTCAATTACTGTGGTGTGTACAAACTTATCGTAACTAAGAAATGATGGCCAAAACTAAAACAAAATGGGACCCAAGTAGTAATTAACAAGAACTTTCCTTTAAAGGCATAAACATATTTTAAACTGAAAATCTAAAACGGACATACATTTCCTCTCTTTCCGCTTCCAGCTCCATCTTTGTCAGGTGAACTCCTGCTTGAAGTAACAAGAAAGAAGAAATAAATGATATCATAATATCATTCAATTTTTATCATTAAATCAGGGATCTCCAAAGCAGGGCACAGTATCGTTTCAAATAATTCAGTACTAGCGCCAATACAATATCTGAGTTTTGGTACTGATTATAAAACTTTTGTCAGAATTACTTCGACAAATACAAACATGTTTTTTCTGCAATACCCTTTTCTTCCATTGTACAAAAGAAGTCAAAATTCAACACAAATGTTAAATGTCAAAACACAAACAGCAGTAAAAGAACTTTACCTAAATAAAATTCAGACAATGAGTAAAAACATTTTAAAAAGATTACAAATCTGACCAAACACTAAAGGCCAACTTTCAGTACTTTTGCAATTCGAGTTTCTGGTACTCAATGCCAGAGAGACGATTCGGTCAGAACCATATGAGTTTTTAGGTAATTACAAGCTGCTTTCAGAGTTGGATGGTTGTAAAAATTTGCGTGTGAGTCTGAGCAAACTCACGTTGTGTCTGTATCCTTGTCCCTCTTTCGTAAGCCCAGGGCTTTCCTTGTTCGGTTTTTTAGTCCTGGTGCAGACAGAGTGAGAGAGGGAGAACAACATCATGAAGAATTAATTAAAAGTTTTAAAGCCTAATATAAAGTTAACTGTCATGTCATTAAAATGCACTTAAAAGCAAATAACACGGAAGAGTAGAAGGCTGATGTACAGTAACACAAGGATGAAACTGTTCTTGTGGATACACAGGAAATACAAGAAACCCCAATAAGTTGATATAAATGAATGAATTGATTCAGGACACAACATCCTGGACCTCTGGAGAAAGCCTCCACATAAAGTGAACAGTGCAGACGCAATCCCCTTAAGTGTACATTCCCTGACTATATAAAATGGAAAGAAAACATGAGCAAAGGTTGATTAGTGTGTCCACTTCATTAGCGAGATTTGTGGGAGAGTGGGGAGAGATCTACCACAGTAATCCATCAGCTAAACTGGATGCCAAGACCCCTGCAGCACTAACGGTTGGCACCATGCAGAACTCGATTGAGGACGACTGGGAAAACCAACAGAAAGACACAATTCAGTGCGTGCAAAGCAAAGCCAAAACTGTTTCTGCATACGTGTTGCAGGGTAAAATTCTTGTGTGATGCTTCATCTGCACTTTTATTGTTGGTTTGTATGTAATACGGATCGACAAAACAATGAATGTACAATGAATAAAAACTAAACTAAAGTCATTTTTTTCAAATGATGAGATGATTTCAAATTTATATCAAGAGTTTGTAGCAACACTAGCAATCTATGATGCTGTACTTACACACAGTGGGGCTTTGAGCTAAATTCTTATGCTAACATGCTTACAACAATGTTAACACACTGCACTACCAGCTATGTGTAAGTTCTCCAAAATAAATCGGTGAGTTAGTGAGTTGGTATCATATATAATATCAATAAATTAAGTCTCCACTGGATTACGATGCTGCAAAATGACATGCAGTCAATGAAAAAAATATGCAGTGTGTAAGAAAAACAGTTGTTTTACCATTAGTGATTATAATTCTGTGATCTTTTATTATTTACACCGACCCTGGGGCATGTGTAACTATTTGGTTGTTACTTAGAGTAATGTTGTAACTTATCATTGATTAATCACAACTTTATCATTTTAATCATTTCCGTTATAATTTACACACAATTGATGTTTAGCATGTTCACCATTTACAGAACTGAAGTGAAACTGGAACATTCAAAATCAAATGGACATTTGTAACAATGTTAATAACAGAGCCTGCTTCTAAAGTATGCTGTGTGGCTTGCTTCACATGTTTAGATAAGGACAGTAGTTTGTTTTTTTTAAACTATTTCATTTTGTTGTTTATTCAATATTTATGTTTTTAGAGGACTGGCGACCTGTCCAGGGTGTACCCAGCCTTGCACCCGATGTCAGCTGGGATTGGCTCCTATACGCAGGATAAGCGGTTGACGATGGATGGATGGATGGATGGATGTTTTTAGAGCCGTTTTACTGCCTTTAAGAAACACAATTACCCATAAGCAATAGACTAGACAAGTTCAGACATGTCTGTAACAGCAGGACTGACAGGAGTTAGTACAAGTTTTTAGATTACAGTTTAAGAGTTGGATTAATTAACTTTGTCTTGGTGAATTTTATGAATATGGAAGAAGTTATCATGATGTTAAAGGACCACCAAAGTCAGTGGGATTATGAAAGTCTGTACAAAACAGACAGATGGAGGAGACTCTAGACTTCACTGTTTGTTGTTAGAAACCTTTTTTGAGACTTAATGAAGCTTAAAGAGTTAATTGATATTGACAATCCTTCGGCTACCCTCAGGTTAAATGTATAAAGGCAATTTTATGTTTCTCAGGACCGAGGAACGACTGCTGTGAGGACCCTATTGAAACGAAACTAAAGGAATTATTCTTAACCGAAATTAATAACATTTTTGAGGGGCTAAATGTGCTTGAAATATCACAAAACTTTGCACACTTGTCAAAAGTGGAGAAAATTTACTTCTGATATGGGACTTGGAGACATACCCTAAACCCAACAGGAAGACTGCCATTTTGAATTTACTGTGCATATATAGGGCCTTTCTCGCCATTTACAGGGTCCGTACTTTAACAAACTCCTCCTACAAAATCAGTCAAATTGACTTCAAATTTGGACAGTGCAATGGCGAATGATGAAAAGTTAACAAAACTTTTCGTTGAATGACTTGTCTGTGGCAAGGTGGTGAATTTTGATAATTCACAATGAAACAGGAAGTTATTGTGGTCAAATATGAACAAAACTTTGCATGTTCCATAAGAGTGACAGACATCTACATGCTGATATTCCGACATAGCGCCACCTACTGGCAACAGGAATTAAGCCCTGTGTGACAATAATCATTTGATTTATGTGAAATTTTCATGGTGAGGACTACACCAGTTTCGGCAAATAAGTCTGGCATCAGTTACATGGCAGGTTGGAACATAGCCAAATAAGTTCAAACTCTAGGGTACTCGTATGCATGTTTTGCTCAGTTGGTTTCCAGCTGGGGGAGTTGTAAGATCAATCCCAATGTCTTGTGGACTTTTTTTTCTCCCTTGTTAAACAAATTGATTATAAGGACACTTTAACACATGCTCACAATAAAGCATGCTCACAATAAATCGTGTGCGCGTCCCGGCATTTGATCAACATTCATAAACCTATGGACATGTGAGGACCTGTGATGTATTGGTAGTTAGCTGGGCTTCTCAATAGCACAGATTATTCCTGCATCATGGCTCTTCATCAGTGGAGATAGCTCTGAACAGCCAGCCTTCTGTCCAGTCCTAACCAGAATGTGTCTTGTGTAATAAGGAGTAGAAATAGATCCTGGTCAGATCACAATCAGATTCTTTGATCACATTGTGCAGTTTGATCACATTGCGCATCAGAGTAGGACTGTTGCTTTTGAAACCCATTTACAAATTTTGCCTGAGGAGAGCCCTACAACACTCATTAAACAGAGGGATTTTTGTAATTATTGATATTAGCAATCTAGTTAAGTTTGGATCTTATTCTCGCTAATTCACAGAAATAAGCTGCTGACTACAAACGGCATGTCCTTTACATTTCTGCTTTTTCACTATAGCATAACGTGATTGTTCTTTAGCACCATCATTCCACTTTCAAAATAAGGTTTCAAATGCAAAGTATCATGCTTTTAGTTGTTCAGACCGATTCCCAAATTTCTAGACAGCCATTTGTCCCCATCTATCTCACCGTGTTATGAATTTCATCTTGACATTAAGTCAGAGAGATTTTACAGTTTAAAAGAACATTCATCATTAACATTATTCTCTATTCATAATAATAGCCAACTAATTACAGCTATATCGTGAAATAATGGTCCAGATAAGCAAACTCTGTGGGGGGTTAGGCCTGCCCCTGCTGAAAAAAATCATAGGGAAAACAGTGCTATCAGATGTGAATGAAAGGTCCAGAAGAAATGTCGCAAGTGGACTTTGACTTTTATTTGTCAAACTATGATTTATAAGGCCAAGAATGAAACTTCAGACTGTTCATCCTGTGGGTATGGTTTTCTGAAAACACAGCTCTGAAAAGACTCCCTCACAATTTCCAATAAATATCTGAACAAACTAGTGACAAGACCTCCAGAAACAGTCCCTTCTGTCACTGCTTCCCACAATTCTTGTACATTCCTAAAACAGACAGACTATCAGTTCTCCATGCTGGTGGTCAGTTGTGCATAGGTGTGTAAATTCAACTCTTGCCATTCTTCACACACCAACCTCTGCCACAGTAATGTTGCCTGCTTAACAACACCATGCCTCATTTGCCAGTGATAGAGATTTGAAACAAAGAGGAAACAAAAGAGCAACACAGCCAAGGTTGGGACCAACTAGTTCTGAACAATGTCCAGGACAGATTTGCTAAAAACTGTAGACTTTGCATGCACTCCAGTCTCTACACTTTAACAAAAAAATTTAAGGCACACCAAGAAATGTGAGTACCTGCGTGCCTCCTGTATGTGTAGTATTTTCTTTTATGTATTGCTGTTTTTACCTTTATTCTATTTTTTACTTGATAGTTTGAAACTGTAGAAGAGATTTTAACATTGTGTAAGTTACAGACTAAACCTCTTATTTGGTAGTTGGCAAACAAATTATCACCACCTACCGATTAATACTTTTTATATATATTATACTTTAATTCCTCCCTTTTCTATAATGTCTAACTTCTCAGCTGTGCTCATTTCACAGAGATTATCTAAATAGATGATAATCAATGTTCCTGAGATAATGCATTTAGTTAATTTGTTACAGAGATGATAAACCTACATGCTGACAAGGTTTTACTGCAGAACATGTATAGCAGCCACGTTTGAATCCGAAAAAACATGTCGCTAACACAGTATAGGCTGTCACTACACCTGACAGCCTATACTGTGTAATTAGCAATGTGCATGTAGCTAACAGAGGCTACGATAAGCATGTGACATCTGCGTTGTTGTGTAGCTTCTACAATGTCTAACTTCCCCTATTATTGGTTTTAAAATGTGGCTGGATTACGCACGGTGCATCCTTTAATTGTGTCCATGTAGTGGATCGCCTATCTTGAGAAGGTTGGCAAGTTGATTATCATACAAGAAAATCAATGTCAGCATTCAACACAATCTCTCCCATGAAACTGATTGACAAACTTAGCACTCTTGGCTTGGGATATTAGGCATCCTCACAAACAGACCTCACACCTCCTCCACACTAGTGCTCAATACCGGAGCCCCCCAGGGCTGTGTGCTCAACCCCCTCCTGTTTACGCTGTACACCTACGACTGCATCCTCCGACATAGAGAGAACTCTGTTGTGAAGTTTGCAGACGACACCACCATCATCGGCTGGATTTCAAACAACGATGAGAATACATATTGGGAGGAAATTGATCATCTTGCAGAGTGAACAAAGATAACAACCTACTGCTCAATGTCAGCAAAACCAAGGAGCTGATTGTTGAATTTAGGAAAAAGGAGTTGGAGACAGGTGAAGCAGGTGAACAGTTTTATGTACCCATGAATCAGCATCAAAGAGAACCTTTGGTCACTTTTACAGAGGAGCAATAGAAAGCATCCTTACTAGAGACATCACAAAGTGGCATAGGACGTGCACGGCCCAGGACTAGAGGGCTCTGCAGCAGGAAAAACTGCTCAGAAGATTACTGGTACCACGCTGCATGAGATTCAGAGGTTTCTGCTTTTGTACCACTAGACTACAGAGCAGCTTCTTTCCTAAGGCTGTAAAACTCCTTAATTCATCCTCAGTACTCAACCATGTAAAATAGTTTAATTTCTATGACCTGTTATTTATCCATTCATCTAGTGTATATCATTTTGTATATAACATTTGCTTTCTGTGAATAGTATAAAGTGAACTACAATTGTATCTTGCTATACAACCCTGTGTTGTAAAATAATAAATAAGTCTACCTTGTGCCTTTTTTATAGGGTCAGCATTAGTGTAAAGTATGTAAAGTATGTATGATTTGTAGTTACAGTGTTGAAACATTCAAAAGCACTGGTAGATACCTTGTGTGATGTCAAGCCACAGTCGATAAACCTGACACATAGTTATAAACTTACAATTCAAAAAGGGGTAATTTGAACAAATTTTATCAAAGACTAAGATGCTCATTTCACAGAGATTATCTAAATATAAAATATATATAAAAAAAATAATCAATGTTCCTGAGATAATGCATTTAGTTAATTTGTTACAGAGATGATAAACCTACATGCTGACAACAAGGTTTTACTGCAGTACATGTACAGCAGCCACGTTTGAATCCAAAAAACATGTCACTAACTACACCTGACAGCCTATACTGTGTAATTAGCAATGTGCATGTAACTAACAGAGGCTACGATAAGCATGTGACATCTGCGTTGTTGTGTAGCTTGTGAACTGAGTACAATATCATGGCAGGCTGACTGCAGGCCTTTTGCTAATAATAGCCACCTTCCATTACCACGTTGGCATTAATGAATAGTAAAGGCCTAGCATCTGTCATGCAGGGTTAGATCTATGATTTAGCTCCTCCACCACATGATGTACTTTACCTTATTCCACCACCATTACCTTTGGTACAACATCCTTTACTTTGCTTCATGCAACACAGGCACCAAATAATGTATGGTTTAAGCACCGCTTGTCCTATTGGCATGACATAATGTTATCCACCAATAGCAACAGCAGCAGAGGAATGAATGAGTGCAGCTTCCCGGACTGCTCGGATTTCCCCTCACATGCGCCTTAATATGACATAGTGTAAAAAGACAGAACTATAATCTGTACATGTAAACGGAGACATGCACAGACACGTGTAAACACACAGTACATCACAAGTGCAAGTACACTACTGTCTATCACTTCTTCCTTTGCATTCAAACACCTCACACACCTTCACTTTCATCTCACATGCATCTCAATTTGTCACAAACGACGTCACACACACACACACACACACACACACACACACACACACAATGGGTCACATTGTCACACTGGCCATGCATATAGCTCAGTTCATCTCACTGGATTCACTAGCTTTAATGTCCCAGCAGGACACAAGAGGACAGAAAGAGGACACAGGGGAAAAACATGGAAAATAAAGGAGGAGAAGGAGTGCATAGATTTACCTTGCATCATGATTGCAGATTTTCATCCTACGTTGCCCTCTGGTGCGCAGGCGGACAGAAATGAAGAAATCCAGCCGGTCAGAGGATGCCTGGGCAGGGCATAGCTAATTCTGCACAGCTCCCCAGCGAAGCACGATGTTGATTCCCTCCACCCCCAAGGGCCCAACTCCCAGACACCCGCACAGGGAGGTTGGGTGGGGGTAGCGCTAAGAGACAGCAGCAGCGGCAGACGATACAGTGAGAAGAGACACCCAAAGAATATGCAGCAAATCGGGGGATGGGGGTCCTCTCTGTGTGCACGTTAGGCCACCAACGCCCGAGCAGCAGCGACACACGCCATCTCTGAGAGGGGGGATGCTGAGGAAAGGCAAAGGAGAAAAAAAAGCAGAGCGTTACAGAGAGAGAGAGGCAGAGAAAGACTGGGAGAGAGAGGGGAGGAGGGAGGGAGTGGGAGGCTTGCTGATGTCACATCTGCACTAAACCAATCCCTGCAACCATGGTCACATGGCATCTGTCCCCTGATGCCTTAGTACCTCTCAGCTTGCCTTGAGCAGACACATTAAAGCCAAATGCATACATGTTATACAAGGTCTCACATAGTATAAATGTTAATTGTGACATGCTTAAAAAAATAGAATTCCCTTTATTTGTGTGTGTTGGTGGACATTTTTTTGTATGTTCATTGAAATTTGATTTAATCTCTTTTTATATTTTTAGTGGACTTGAGCTTTACAGGACAGTGAGGAGCAAAGAAAAATACATGAATCCAAAAAGTGGGACAAATACATCACTCACCCACGGACATACAGACAAACACAGGATAAAAATAAGAGGTCAAGCACAGAAAAAAAGCTAAAAAGGAAAAGAGTCTTTTTAAGTCTTTTGTTGAACTGATGAATGGACAGGAGGAAAATCTAATTAGGGAAAGAGGATTCCATCATTTTTGGTCAGTTACTGAACCTCATGATTCTGTCCTTGAATGAGCGACAAATAAAAGCCCTGATAAAGGTTTCTTCGGGAAAGGAATTCAGTATTACACTCTGTATGCTGAGATGAGACCATGCAGTGCTTTTTATTCAAATATAATATAATATTAAAAGGGGACCAGTGACAGGAAGAAATAATAGGGATAATACTTTTTCTTTTTCTGAAGTCTGAAGTCTGTTCTGGATCGTTGTGGAGCCTGAACAGAGAATCCTGAGTGATACCTAAATATGAAGCAATTGACTTGTTTGGAAAGGACAGCATAGATATTTTACTTACTCTGGGTTAAAAACACACACACACACAAACACACACACACACACACACGAGGATGCACAAGCATGCACACAAGCATGCAGGTAACGCTATACAAGTTCCTGCCTTTGGTTTCACACTGTTCCTCTGATCTACAGGTGGCTGCAACGCACCAACAAATACAGCATTTTGCCTGGCCCCGAAGGTAGGTAGTAAATATAGATGAAAACAATGGTGGATTTAAAATGACCAAGGTAAGTAATAACAGAGGTTGAGTTTGGTGGAATGAAATAAAGAGAATGTCCTGAACAATCCACTATTTGATGTCCGCAAGGCATCTACTGAAATCTGATCAACTGTTTGCATTATTGCACTTTAGGTGATGAGTTCCTACACAAAAGTATCATTTTCTGGCAAAGTTAGTTCATATAAGGGATTATTTTTCTCACTGATTTGTCATGTCATGCCTTTTTTTGTCATTTCTGCTTTATTTGATAGTGATGGTACACTAAGATGGGAGAGCCAGGGGAGAGAGGGGACGGCATGCAGCAAGGAGCCGAGGCTAGACTCGAAGCCAGGCCACTATGGTAAGGACTCAGCCTTGATACGTGGCACGTCTCTATCATGTGAGCTACTGGGGCACCAGTGGTTTAGAAACAATTCAAAATGTGAACTTGTTGCAGGCCAAACAAATCTGATCGAAAATAAAACACGCCAACATCGTCTGAGAAGAAGCTGGGCGTTTAACTCTTAATAAATAATAACTAGGAGTGGGTTTTTTAAACTTTGAACAACTTGATTGACTTGATTTGAATGAATATTTGATATTATAGAGAAATACATCAGATCTGAAACCAAGCTTTGAGGGTCTTTAAAGAGAGATTAAATTAAATGTCAACAACATCCTGATGGAAAGAGACATTGTATTTCTGAGTAATACAGCCAAATGGGGCAAATAAATGGAGAAAGGATTGGACTGACAGCCGAGCCTTAGGGTAGCCTACAGGAAATGGAAGATGAGGATGAGCAAGAATTCCCAGAGGAACTGTGTTTTGTATTGGATAAATGTGAGGGAAGCCGGTCCAAAGCTTTAGCAGACAGATCGGAATAATGTGGTCTGTGTTGTCAAAGGCTACAGTTAGACATAAGGACAAGAGGACGCCAAGAGAAGATCATTTGTCCAATTTTAGTAGGATGGAGTTTGTTCTGTGGAAAACAGGATTTTCTTTTCAAGAAGCAGTTGGACAAAACTACTTTTCAGAATCAGAATCAGAAATACTTTATTCATCCCCAAGGGCAAATTCTGTAAATTTCTCCAGCACTCTGGAAACAATAGAGGAATACATCGACTTGTATACAACTGCAAGTTGCAAGACTGTTTCTATTGTTAAATGTGTCACACTGGAGGACAACAGTGTGTCAACCACCGCAGAGTACACACAGTCAGCTATAATCATAACACATGCTCACTGGAAGGATCTGCCTCACATTTTAGCCTGGAAAAAAGAGAGGGTGGCAAAGGAGGAAAACATCTAATACTATTATGCAAGTGTTACACTTTGGTAGAAAAACTGAGATGCTTTGAATGAAAGCAACTGTATGATTATTTGGCTTCTTTAATGGCTGCGTATTGATCTATTGGAGCAGAGTGAGTCACCCTCACTGATAGGAAAAGGACAGATGGGGGAAGGCAGTTAGAGTTTAGTATAGTGTGTGTGTGTGTGTGTGTGTGTGTGTGTGTGTGTGTGTGTGTGTGTGTGTGTGTGTGTGTGTGTGTGTGTTTCCACTGTGGTGGAGGTCATGTAATTTAAAAAAGTGAACATACAAAACAAAAAGCTGATGCAAATTTGACCTTACATATGATGTGTTTTCTGTCCCTTTGCTGTTTCCTCCATGTTTGGAGACTATTGTATGTTGGTGAGGTTGGTTAAATGTCAGAGAGTGTAATTGAACACAGTAATAAAAACTCTGTAGGCTACTTCATACTGTTAGTTTGATGTACAGTTAGTGTACGTTTCAGTGCCCTTGAGACAACCAAGTTAAATATGCTACAAACCCGGAAATGAACACCTTTAACTTGTGCCATCACTTCTTCAATTTACTATTCTTATTGCTGAGGTTTATTTGTAGCTGTAGGAGTAACTGTTAATGAGCTTACTATACCTCGCTAAATAGACCACAGTCTTCTCCCATGTGCTTTCCTTAACCAGCTTGTTACATAAGATGCCATCCCGAGGTGAGAGGTGACCGCAACCAGGATTAGCAAAGGAGAGCTACACAGATCAAAACACATAAACTAGGAGCTGTTAACTGAGGGATACTGACAAATTACTATTCGGTTCTGCAGGTCAGATACATGTGGGTAAATGAAAATTGTGAATACATCACATTTTTTATTTCTCAGAGAAGAAAACTGACTAAATACTAACTTGTGACTACAGACAACCTCCAGGTGGATTAGGCTATATTCTACTCTTCCATATATAAACCAAGCTGTATTATATCCATATAGATTACATTCAGTGCAATTATTAAAAAAAACTACACGTGATATGATGGCCTTTGCTGCAGGAAACAGTGATGGTTGCTCATTACCACTCTGCACTGTAAATCCTTTCACAGTGTGGCTCAATACCGCCACCTACTGAAGGAAGTTAGTAAAAGCTTGAGCTCTATTTTTCTAGCAGTCCCTCCAAAATAATCTCTTGTCCTCATCATCATCAGCATCATATTAGTCTGTGCTTCACCCAGAAACAAACTCCACACTGGAGATCATACGGATACCGTGGAGAGTAGGTTGCCAAGTGATATATTGACTTTATTCATTCATTTGATTTAGGTCAACAACATTTTAGCAATATCAGACAAATTCTATTCAGAATTTTTTGCTGACTCCCTTAATATAACATTGGGATGTGCAAACACTAGCTTGTGGTCTTAATGCAATTCTGGCAGACATCCATAACATTATGTCTCATTGGGTTCAGCACAGCTTGCTTCTCATTACTAGTTATAACTTGTGAGAATACGTTGTAGGCTGTAGAAAATCAATAAAGTTCCCCGCAGTAACAATTGTTACACATTGTCATATGTGTAGCATAACTTTAAGACAAGTTAACCACACACACACACACACACACACACACAAACACATCTTCATTCAGCATTATCACAGACCACATTAACACATCATGTCTGCCTCTTTGGTATCTTTACAACAGTGTTTGTGTCCTTGTCGTCCATGTGTGATCAGCATTGTCGGTCCTGTGGGTGTAAAAGCAACATGGCTTGTCGGGGCTGACAGAGTGACAGCACCACTGTAGGTCATGTTGCCGCTGTCGGCCATGGTGAGCTGATGTAACCTTGCCGCCGCTCTGTCTCCTGCCCGGAGGCTTTTTCACCAGAGGACAGGACACTTATTCAGCCTTGACAAATGATAGTTAATAACTCACCAACTCCAAAGCCATTTGCATGTTACAAAGGCAAAAGGCACCTTTTGAGGATTTCTAGAGAGACAGAAATATAAATACCTTCGAAACTGTGAGTTGAAAGCCAAATTTAAAGCCACAGAATTGTCAGCAAAGACAGCCAAAGCCTTCCTGAACTCTTTGTGTGCTCCCCCGAGCAGGAAGATCAGCTGAAGTAAGTCTAATATGCCGTAGTCAACGTGCTTCACAAACAGCCAAGTTGCACTGATATCAACAGCTACTTTGTGAATACAAGTAACAGGGCCCTCTTGAAAATAGTAATGAAAGCAGAAAGCAAATAAATTTTAAAGAGAAAATCCTTTCACTGTTACTATTCATCATACGACAAACAAGTATTTATAATGAGAATTTTCTCAAATGGTAAAACTGAAAATTAATTGATATGAAGTGTGCAACAAAAATTAAATATTATCAGACCAAATGTGTCAAATGTGATTATCACTATAAATTCTCTTATAATATTAGCTTTACAGAGGACATTTTAGTGCTGGTTCACAGCATGCTCAAGAGTTCTTTCACCTACTCCAATCATTTCAGGTGGGCAAAGGGGAAACCCCTCGACTTTTTACCTAGTGCTTATAAAGATATCTTTCAGATCAGCCATTCTTAATGACCACTCTAAACCCATGAATGTTATGTTATTCATAAACAAACCCTGA